CCCACCCTCGCCCAACGCCACGAAGCCGGAAAGCGAATAGAGACCATCCTCAAGGACGAACCAGAAGCCGCACCAGCTCCTGGCGATTAGCAATAGATACGAACGAGCCTTGCCATCTTTCTGGATGTTTCAAACGCTTTGAGGAAATCTAGCGATTTTCTTGGTTGGACCTGAGCGCGTCAAATGTCAAGATACAAAGTCGAGGATATAGTTCGGATACTAACTTGGCGGCGGTGGCAGCAGCAGCCTTTTTCTTATGTGTCACTGTCGTGCAGTGTCGCTTCCAATTTTGTATTGCACCTTTACGCTTACTAAAAAAAAAAAATCAGTTAACATGACTGTCAGAGAGAGATCACACTCACCAGACACTGCAGTACTTGGGAGGTCTTTGATGGCGCCTTTCTTGATCTTTTCGAGTATTCTCGTCATAGTAGCCGTCAATCTTTGTGTAGCGAAAATGTTGTCGCGCGTGTCCCAATGCTCTCACGAGACTCCTTGTCACCCGTCGTTTACCGGGCTCATTGCGGCAAAGTAGACAGTCGTAAGATGACCTTCCCATCTTTTCCGATAGAAAGGCGCTAAAGGGACTACTACATGCTTCGGCGCTCCCTCTGGGTTTGATCAGGCTCCTTAAACCTGAATTTTCGGGAGGAAGCTGTTCTTCAGTATTTTTGCGGTACCAATCAGACTCGAGCATCCATTTTATCAGCTTTATGAGCTTAGAATGTTGATTACTGCGGAGCACATCTATAAAGAGCTGGATATCTGGGGAATTCATGCTCAAGGGGCCCTTTGGATTTGCATCCCAAATCAATTGGAGAGTTGGACTCGTTTGGTCAGAGACGATGCCTGCGTCGAAGGCCGAAATATTTGGAGGCGGCAAGGAAGGCTCAATGGGATTTGAGGGACTATAGATGTCTTGTTCTTCTGGTATATCGTCAGGCGGTGGGGCATGTGGGGTCGGAAGGAAGGGCTTTCCATCGTCGGAATTCGGATTAGTCTCATAAACCCCACTTGTACCTGGCAAAGGTTGATTTCTAACTACGGAACTGGCAGGGAATATACTTGCTTTGACTTTGAATCGAGTATTGACTCGGGTGGA